CTACAACTACAACTACATCTACAACTACAACTACGACTACTACGAGTGCTACTACGGCTACTACTACGACGACTACTACGACTGCTACTGCTACTGCCAATCGTACCGCACTACTTTGCATCACACCGTAGGCTGCAACGTGGTACCAGAATCAGGTTCCGGCACAGGTACGTAGTAGCGGCAAAGTTTCGCGTAAGTGTCGTGAAAGACGTACTCAGATCTACTCAAGGGCTCATTGTATGTTTTGAGCCTTGAAATCCACGAAGCCTTGCAGAAGCTTTTAATTCATCTGGAAGGGAACCTGGAGACGCCCCTAAAAAGCTTTGCCATCGAGAAAATCTAGGGAAGCTTTGCAACAGCCTTTCAATTTGCCTCGAGAAGCCATTGTTGAATTCTGAGAAGCTCGTAAACATGCCTTACCAAACCTGCAAGAAGCAACTGAATAGTTTCAAGAAGCCGCTGAGAAGGGCCACTGAGCAGCCCTCCGCAGACTTCTTTCTCATTTGGGGCTAAACACCTGCACGTAGATATGCCTCCGCCAAAGCTCTGCGAGAAGGTCATTCCGGAATAAAGGAATTTAGATCAGCAACTACCTAGGGAAATGCCCATCAATGATCCGCTGCATCGGTGGTTTGGATCCGAGTTGTTGGTCGGCGTATCGGTTTGACAGCAAGGCTTGATGGTGCTTTGCCATTTCACTTCTGTTTGCTGAAGCCTTCGGATCCATTGGCCGCTGCTAGCGCATAACTTGTCGAAGAATCCTATGCCAACTCATGATGACAATTCATGTTTCGCATCATTGACTCCAAACCCATTCAGATCATGTTGCAAAGGCCAGTTGCCTTTTTCTGGCTCGCCCTTCGAGCGGTGTTCATCCAAAACATCGGTGGCTCTCCGAAGGCACGCGCGTATGCACAATGCGGTCGATGGGTGGCATTTGAGCTGTCACATTCTTGTCTGCTGCCGTTGCAAGTCTTGTGGGCTGGGCTTGTTAAGCCCAGGAGAGAGCTTGCAGCTAGTTTCTGTCGCGCGCATCCTTTTTCAGTTACTTTGCAAGTGCAAGATGCAGGCAAGAATCCAGCAATTACTGAGAAAGATGCTGCCGAAGACACGGTCAACCATGATGCTGACAGCCAGCACCTCGACAAGACTTTTGTATTCAAGCGACGCCCTGGTGGATGTAGGACCAGAAGCACAGTAGTAGTAGTAGTAGTNNGTACTAGTAGTAGAAGTAGTAGTAGTGGTAGTAGTAGTAGTAGTAGTAGTAGTAGTAATAGTAGTAGTAGTAGTAGTAGTAGTAGTAGCAGCAGCAGTAGTCGTCGTCGCCGTCGGTGTAGTGGTAGAGGTAGTAGCAATGGCAGTGGTAGCGGCAGCGGCAGTGGCATTGGTGGTGTAGCAGTGCGCTTAAGGTGGTGGTAGAGAACCCCGTAGATCAGTAGATCAGTAATTTTGCTTGTGCGTTTGTTGCTGATGCTGCCTGGCTTCAGCGGTGTGGAAGACTTCGCTGTATTGTTTTGTGTCTTCTTGTTGTCTTCTTCTTTTTCTTCTGGATAGCTGCTGCCTTTGTAACGTTGCCGCTGCATCTGGTACGCAAACCAAGTCAAGTCAGGCGCGTTCAGCAGCGACAGCAGCTTGCTAAGTAACTAATGCTCCGGTTTCCTTGGATGAGATTACCCGAAGTCCACGCAATTGTGACAGTCGTGCATCGTGCATGAGGAGAAGCAGAAAAGGCGCAAAGTTTGGTGCCACTGCTGTTGTGGATGGAGTACACCTACGTTGTCATCTTTCCAGGTGCCTTGGAACAACCGTTCGAAACTTCTGCAGGTTCTTGAGGCATCACTATTTTTGTCTGTTGGGACAGCACTGTTTGAGTCTTGATATGCACATGAAGCGCTTTCTTCAGGCCCTTGATCCAGCTATCCCCATCCATTGGCAAAAGCACGGGCCTGCTCGAGGCATTGCGCTTACGGCTTGCTACTTCATCGATTACAGCATGCGAATTTGGCTTGCCCAGTGCCTTGGACCTGAAGAGGCAGAGTTGGAAGATGGCTTCGAAGATAGGATCACAAGGGAACGTGTTGAATAAAGCCCCCAAGCAAGTCCTTGCCCCAACTGCCAACGTAACCCGTGGGGATGGCCTTGCACCTGTGCTGGTTTTTTGTCAGAGAGAACCTGGGTGCGAGTGGTGTGCATTGTGTGTATTGTACATCTTCAAGCCACCGGCTGTGCTTAATTAATTATCCATGATGCGAAAGTGCACCTGGAACAGTGCGGTATTCAGAGAGCGTGCCCTGCAATCGTTTGCAAATGCCAGCATTGGCAACAACATGCGACAAGGTCGACAAAATAGGGGCGTGAGGTTGCCCCTCATTAACAATCCTGACAGCAGCTGTGGTAGACTCACAGCTCTCTGTGTTCTTGCTTGCTAGAGAAGTAAAGTACAGAAATTTTGACTCTGGAGATCTTCGTGCTTTCGAAGCTGATGTGTTCTGTCCCTTGAAACTCTCCAGCCCACGAGGTGAACCAGAACCCCGGTCGAATACCTTCCACTTGTCCAGAATCCGAATCGGAGAAAGTGACTTCCACGAGGTTGGCATTCAGCATTCTTTTCTTCCTGTGGCAGCGCTACGTGATGCTTTGGCTGCGCCTGACCTGTTGTGAAGATCGAAGGGTACTTAACCGGCACATCCGTCAAGTGAGAAGCAACGGGGACGTTAGTGGTCTGTCGCGTGCAGGGATTCGCTTCAAGTCTGCACATGCCAATGCTCGAACATGTCTTTGGATGTAGAACCGAACTTGATGGTTTTCAGAGGTTTCATAACCTCGTTGTGTAGAAGACTTAGATCATGTAGAGCACAGGCATTCAGGGCTGCAGCGCCTGCAGCAGCTACAGTTCATTCGACTTGCGAGGTACGGGAAATCCGAGTTTGACTCCGACGGGACATACTTCTCCTTCATTGTCGTCTGCTGTCGGAAATGGGAGTCTACTCTCAGCTCAGTGTCTGTTGCGTGTTATGCTTTGTCCGGAATGGGCAGACAGCAGTACTTCCGCCGGCTTTCGCTACACAAGCGTGTATTAAGAGCTGGCAGGCAGGAGTATGAGAAGTGATGACTAGCAGCCAAGTCGGTTTGTCCTCGAAACGAAACCATTGTGTTCAGGGTCAGCGAAGTTTTTCAGGCAGTAATTGTGTGGCACGACATCTCCTGCAAGTCGTGTTCATGCAGCAGCTTCGTTGACGAGTTCACCTCGTTGGAACGCCTTGAAGCGCCATACCTCCTTGAAAAAGAAAAGCTTGAGGTATGGGGCCTGGTGTTGTCGATGGCTGCTTCTTCCTTTGCCTTTTGGGCATATCGGATTCTTGGCACAGCCAGAACCCCCGAAACCTTGGTCCAAGCTGCGTCTCTAGCAGTAACTCTTTATCGGCTTCTCAGGCGTTCGTGATGTTTCGTATGTCGTCTCGTCGTTATCGGTTCTTAAAGGGCTCCCAAACACTAGTTAGGCTATTGGTTGTGGTTGCTGGTGGTCGTGGTCCGCAGGAGGCGATGTCCGTCTTTGGGGTTGGCTTGTACTTAGCCAGTTTTTGTTTGCTGCGTGCATCATGTTCGATGTCTGTGAGGCCTCCATCTCAAGCGGATGATTTGGAGCCTGAGCTCAGGTTGGATCAAATCACCGAGCGACCCTTCGCCGTGTTGATCTTCGTTCTCATCTTCATGCTGACTTATTTCATTTATGTTGCTGGCATCCTTGCGATCGAGCAGCTGAGATGCCAGGGGAGAGTTGAACATTGCTTTGATCAGCTTAAGAAGACAGACCAAATGATGTGCAACAAACACAACAGTCCACGGTCTGGCTACTTTCCAAAAGACGCCAGCATGGAGGCGGCCTCGTAGGTTCATGACTGGTAAGGCGGGAAGATGCCAACGATAAGGCCACAGTTCGGGATGCCGAAGAAAGCTTGTGCAATGCACCCAGCTGAGGTATCATTTTAGGAAAATGGGCAAGACTCTAGACGACGAGAATGTGTCGGGTAACGATCCTGGGTATATGGCGATCATGGAGAAATCTGGCGTATCCTGGTGGAATACCAATCCGATTTATGTTGCTCGGCGCGAAGCACACTGGTTGCTCATAATTCCTTTCTCACCGGACTAGTACACGGACCGATTGATTAACCTGGCGCGTGCAGCTGCCACAGTCCTGATTCGAAAACAACGACTCGCACCCGTACTTTCCATCGTCGAGTGCGCTTGATCATGCTGGTGAAATGCCAGAGTTGAGCTCAGGTGCTGAAGCATCGCCTGTGCCCTGATTTAGCAGGCTTCGAAGTGCCGCTTGGCTTTTCTAGATGTTCAGAATAGTCCTTGCGTTTTTCCTGCTTCTTTTTTGGCTGCAGTGCAGTGAAATATTGATTGATGGAAATTGGCTTGTGTTTCCATGCAGCTTGTTTGGTATTGATGTTCGGCGGCCTCCTTGCATCGAAGCTCAGCTGCATATTCAACTTCATGCTACATGCTGCATGCAGGCATCAGGAATCGAGGAATGGCTGGCCCGCATGGTCAGACGAGGGCTTCTTCGAGAAGGGCAAGGAGCGTGCAAGGGTACTTAATGCAAGTGCTAACCAACATCTGTATCTAACTCCATTATACAGAAAGAGAGGCTGTTCCTGCCTCGTAAGCCAGAGTGCGCTCTTCGCAGGAGTTCCGACACCGGCAAAGTGCTGCCGACCGGCTAGATTCCGGTGGTGAACCTGCCTGAGCCAAAACGAAAGCAATCGTGCCGTGCTGATCTGCAAGGTGGAAGAGGTTCAGAGTGTAGGGTTTGGAGTTTGGTTGTGCGTGCAGTCCTTTGCCGACGATGTGTCATTGCTTCTATTTCTGGTTTCCAGGCTACTTCAGATTTGGAAACGACAAGAAACCCTTTGAACCATAGCATGGAGGCCTGAATTGTCAGTCGTGATATGTCGATAACATTTTCACAATACAATTATACTCTACTATTCCGCCGTCGCTTTATTCTAAGTGTTAAGACCCTGAGAATAGCACAACCCACCAAGACGCTCCTAAAAAGGACACCATGGCCATGCAAAAACACCGCGCCATTTCCGGAGCCCGTACCTGCCCGAAGTAGCACAGAACCTGAACCCATCAACTCAGCCCTTGCCTGAGCATCCAAGTGCCTAGTAACCATATACCCCCACAGTTCTAACCTGCAGTATCACCATCCGACACCCAAGTGCTTTATGTCGTTGGGTACTTGGGACCCTTAGGGTTAAGGTGTGCCCCGCAACTTTCAATTCAGCCACTCTCCGCCCAGATTCGTCGAAGTTAGTAGAGATACGTGGCAGGTCAGATTTATGCTCGCTAAAACGAGCCTCACAGATCTTTTCCTCTGACTTCCTTGGCTTCCGGAAACCCTAAACGCTCGACCCTAACCCTGAATCCAGTAAACCCTACACACTTAACCTTCAACCTTTATCGAATCCCTGACAGTACCCTGAAAGGGACCATTCAAGGAACCCTCGAACCCAAAACCCAGCCTGAGCAAGCGCGCGTCGATTCCGAACAAGCCGATCACAGGACGTCGATGGAGTCGAGCTCGCATTCACCAAGGTCGATCTGGAGGTGCATCAAACGGCCCAGTCTCTCGGGTTCGTAAAGCATTCCTTACTTCCGCAGGTGTCCGTAAAGTGGCTTATTGGTGCACCATGGGGCTCTCGTGGCGCTCTTGTGGTTTCCGAAAGTTGAAGGTAAGGATTTATTGTTGTTTTTGCGAATGTTGAGGGTGTCTAGTGTGTTCAAGGTTTTCGCGGGTCTTGAGTCGGTGTTGAGGGTTTTGTGTGTATGTGTGTTGAGGGTTGTTGAGGGCTCTGGGGTTCTTGCGGGCGTTAGAAAATGTTTTGAGGGTATACAGGTTGTCGCGGATGTTGAAGGTTTTGGTGGTTTTGCGCGATTTCATGCAGTACCAGTCGAAATCTTGTACAACATTCTGATTACAGCTTAAGCTGACACAGTGAATCAGCATCCACAGGACATGTAAAGGTTTAGGGATTTATGTGTTTGGGTTTTTGGGCAGAACAAGGCGATAGGGTAGGCCCTGTAAAAACTTTGCACCGGCTCCGGACTCGAAAGGCTTGGGTTTACGTAAAATCAATTGGTCCCCGCCGAGGGGTCTAAGTAAATTCAAGTGAGCGAAGGCCGGTCGCGCGGAAGGCGGAAGGGTTTAAGTGAATGGAGTTGGCAGGCCGCGCGGAGGGGTTTAAGTGGATTGAGTTGGCAGGCCCTGCGGAAGGGTTTAAGTGGTTTAGGGTTTAG